AGAGAGAGAGAGAGAGAGTCTCCCTTGGAAAGCCAGGAAGAGAGAGTTCGTAGCAGCTACATGACCAGAATACCTCGCGGATTTGGTATGCCGGCCACGCCTGACCGTCGCACACCACCAACCGACTCAAGTGAACTCCGGGTAAGGTGTTCTAGCACCTTACCACCTAGAAACCTTCCTCTACTACTTCTATAGCTTTCTACTACCCCCTACTTGCTGGTACCATCACCAACCAGTAACCTTGTCGTTGTCGTTGTCGTTGTCGTTGTCTAGCTATCGTCTCGGTACGAAGACGACGACGACGACGTACTCGCGGCTGTTAAACTTTTTGAAGAACGTGCCCGACACAGGAAGAAGAGTAGTATCCTGTAGGTATAGGTATAGATAACCGCAAACGTGTAGTAACATCAGCTAGAAGAAGCCCGAGTACTTAGCTTTACTCTCGAGTAGTGTAGCCCCTGAAGTCTGTGTTCTCTCCCTTGAAAGAATGAAAGAGAAGGGGTGGGAGGGTTGGAGGAGTGTGAAGGGCTGAGAGGAAGAACGGAGAAGGGGAAAGCACAACGCCGTTACTTCTTACTTAAAGACGCCGAGAACTTATGACACGTACGTGACAGAATTGTCGACCGAGAGAAGGTGTTCTAAAAGAAAAGGTGTAAGGTATAGGCCTTACGAAAAATTGACGAAAAAGAGAAGACAAAAAAGTCAGGCTAATGCTCCCCGTCCTCGCTCCCCCCCCGTCACCGCTTCACCCTGCCCGGACTATAAAACGAAAAAAATGGTGCTTCCTCTTCTTCTTCTTCTTCTACTTCTTCTACTCTTCTTTTTCTCTTTAAACTCAACAACTTCCGTCTACACTTTGGCACGCTTAGCGACAAATAAAGCTACAAAAGTAGTAAGTCCTGGGACAGGAAATTGAAGTTTCTCGCAGGACAAATTGTCGAGGAGCCTTGTTCTTTACTAAAAAAAAAAAAATCGAAGAGCACGCGAAAACGTTATACCCGTTAGGGTTTGTAATGTTCTATTATTTCAAGGACAAATTTATTATATCGAGAATCGACACAGTTAAGTGTATCTATCGTCATATTATAACAGAATCTTTTATTCTTTTTCTTTTTTTGTTTCTTTTATAGATACATATATATTAAAAAAAAAGCATAAACTATGGGGGGGACGGGGGAGGGCAAAGATTGAAGAATAGTAAAAAAAAAAGTTTCGAGTAAGAAAAAGAGTCGCTTTTGAAAGAATACCACCATGATATCCAGCGAGCACAACGCAACCACCATTATTTGCATTCTTATCAAGGACGGAAACGTAGCAGCGAGAAAAGAGGGGTGGTGGTGGTGGTGGTGGTGGTGGTGGTGGTGCTTTGGGTGATGAGAGAAAGAGGGGGTAGAGAACGACGACGCTTTGTAGCCCGTTGATAAATCGACCCCTAGTTCCCCCAACCACCTCGTGCCCACCCCCTGCCCCTGCCCCTGCCCCCTCGCGCACTGTGTGCGCGACATCGTCTAATGTTCGCTCAATATGGAAGGCGGGAGGAACGCGGCCGACGGCGAAATTGGTTTTGCGACGCCACGATAAACTTCCCTCGTCCGGCAGCCCTCTTTCTCTTTCCCTCTCACCATTTCGACGAGTCGGATTCGGTGATAAAAGTTCATTGAACGAAGAGAGAGATAGAGAGATAGATAGAGACTAGACTTCGATTGCGTATTGTTTAAAAAATAAAAAGATATAGAAGAAAATAAACAAAACAAAAACAGAAAAAAGAAGAAAAAAAAGGAATTTGATGCAACTCGCGGGCATTCGCATTCGTGTTTCACTGTCCCGGTTTTCTCTGTCCCTTCGCTAGAGTAAAAATAAAACTCTAAAAGAAAGAAAGAAAAAAAAGGATAGAAAATTTAGTTACCGATGTTGCATACAATGTGTATATGCGTGTGTGTATGTATATATATCGCGTGTACCGTACTGTTAACAAACAGATGATCTATTCTACGTTTCTCTATCTACTATATTCGTCGATATACAATTTAAAATAGGTAACGTATTAATATAGTCAAAATTTGTCTTCGAATAATGTATCTTCGATGTAGACGAAATGAAAAATAAAAAAGGAAATAAGGAAAAGGATTCTCATTCGATTTGCGAAGATCGATGCAAGGATTTAACGAACAACTTGCAACACCCGTTGTCATCGTAGTCGTAGTAGTAGTCGTAGTAGTAGTAGTAGTCGTCGTTCTTACGGATACGAAGATATCCCATCTATCCTGATCGCAATCCAATCCTGACCGTTCTAATAACTTAGATTCAACTGTGCTTTCCGTATTCGTATTCTAGATGGTATCCGAGGAAAGCGAAGTTCCAATGGGTCGGCCCGTAAAGAAGGTAACAGAATCATTTCGTTCGCGGAAAGGACACGATCGAAAATATTGCGCTTTCGAAGGCTTTCTCGGAAAAGAGTCACGTACACCTATAACAGTTTCGTGCAGCGTACCCTTTTTCAGGGCGGCCACTCGTGACCACTGTTGGATACGGTGACGGTAACGGTGACGGCTAGGCTAGGCTAGGTTAGAATACCTAGCTCAAACTTTAGTGAACCAACTAAACCACCTCTTACTTCTTCTTTCTGTCCAAACAGTTACGAGGAGGACACCGACTAATCCTTTTTTACACGTGCAAGAACACCGAGAAAATATCGTCTACTTAAAAGGGTGTACCCGAACTAACACCAACAACCAGCCAACCAACTAACCAACCCTTAGGAGTACCACCTCTAACATTCGCGTCTTAACGTTCATCGAGAACTCCAATGAAATATACAAGTGCGAGAAGAATCTTCCATTCCACGTTGAGATCTAACCCCCTGCTCTCAAGTATGATGGTGATTGTGGTGATAGTGGTGGTACTGTTACTGCTGCTGCTGCTGCTGTTGTTACTGCTGCTGTTGGTTGCTGCTGCTACTACCCCGACAGGCATTCGAACATTACATATTGACGAGTCTGGAAGGTAGCTTATAGCCACGCAGGAACGCGACTGGGAAGAAAAAAAAAAAAAGGACGAAAAAGTATAGAGAAAGGAGACAGAAGCATATCGAACGCCGAGAAGTTTCAGGAGGGTTGTGAAAGAGAGGGTGAAAGAAGGAACCTAAGGTGGAAGGGTGAACTCGTCTTCCGTAGTGCGGCCACGTAGTCGCCGTTTGTCGATCGTACCGCAATAATTCCTTATTGCTCCTCCAACCCCTAACCCTTACTCCTTCTTTTCTTCTTCTTCTTCTTCTTCGTATTCTTCTTCTTCTTTTTCTTCTACTACTTCTACTCTTTCTTTTTTATCTCCTCTTTCTTACCACCTTCATCCACCTCACGTCCGAAAACCCTCTCCACCGAGCACAAACCCCATCCCCTATTTTCCTTCAAGGCTCGTCCCATCTCTTCTTTCTTACCCTTTTCTTCGACGAAAGGGTTTGCCGCGAAGATTAAAGGAAAACCATTAAATCTGGTCGGGGATCGGGTGGCCAAGATCAAACGTACAAAATGTTCACGTGACTCCTACGCGACCAGGTTCGATATTTAAGTTTAATAAACTTCATAAGATAAAAGGAAAGAAAAAAGAATGAGAAAAGGAAAATCATTTTCTATATTATCTCTCTCTTTCTCTCTCTCTCTCTGAAACCCTTTATCATTTTAGTTTATTATTTGTCGATTCTGACTTATAATAATACCCATTGGCATCGTCATAATTGTATCCTTCCTTAACTTCCCTTTTAATCTTTTTTTTTCTTCTTTTTTTTTTATTTGTTTTTCTACTATTCTACGGTCAAATGAAAGAAGAGAGTATTATTACGGGACGAAGGAAGAATTTAACGAAAGGATCGTTTTGGTCATTTGTTCGAACGAGTTATAGGATAAAAAGGAGAACGGACCACGTTTGCAACGCTCGATAGGTACCACCAAGAGCGTGACTTGAAAGCACATATTCTCTTTTCCTTATTATTTTTCTTATTCCCCCACCCCTCACCATCACCATCACCATCACCACCCCCTCCTCCTTCTTACACTCTAGCGATTTCTGCAAATTGGGATCGACTTCGATATTCGCCCTATCGATTTTAGATATTTTTTTCGAGTAAATGGAAGTGTAATCCCGTGTGTACCCGGGGTTAGCTAAAGAAGAGATCGTTTGTTCTTACTTATGCAGAAAAAGAAAAAAGCATATCTAAAAAGTTCAACTTACAAAAAAAAAGAAAATGAATATTGGCCTTGGTCTATATATAAAATAATAAGTGTTTGTATGATTTGTTTGATTTTTAAAAACTTTATTGGCCGAAACTACTATTACGGTATCCTATGGTTTTATAGAGAAAAGTAATAATAGTATTATACTTGTGACGCGTGGGTGGATGTAAGTGCGCGAAAGTCATTGAAAATAAAAGAACTGTGAAACGGTGGAACAACTTAACGCGTTTCTGCATGATGCCTCGAACAAATTGATCGTAGGCGAGGGTTCCATATTCACTGCTGCCTACACACTGAGAAAGAGAGAGAGAAAGAGAAAGAGAAAGAGAGAGAGAGAGAGAGAGAGAACGTCAACGCTTTAACCGCAGGACGCGGCTCGTATGACATTGAATATAAATCGGCCACTTAACCGAGCCCGATTATTATGGATCGCAAGCTTCAAATGCTTCTGCGTCGGTTGTCTCTTTCTCTCTCTCTCTCTCTCTCTCTTCGCTACTTCTTTTTTTCTCTTTTTTCTTTTCTTTTCTTATTTTTTTCTTATTTTTTTCTTTTTCTCTTCCCCTCTTTTTCTTATCTCTCACAGTGCGAGTAAACATACTTCGAAAGATTTAAAATTATAATGGAAAATAGTATTCATGCAAATGAAAGGTTATAACGTTAGCGCGCAAACCCCGCTCCTGTTTCCCTTCGCCCCACCCCCCTCCCTGCTCCCGGTTGAAAAAGATCGCAAGATAAATGATCGGAAAAATCTTCAATTTTGTCATGGCTTACGTAAGAGGAATTTCATAGTAGACGATGATCTAATCGCCTAAGTCATCAGCATTATTCTTCTTGTTATAGTTACAGTTAACGTTCCTGTTTTAATGTTGTTTATGTAGTCTGACTCACCTGTAACAAAAATAAAAAATACATGGATTAGCATAGTTTAATTAGAATTAAATAATCATTATTACTTTGTTTTTTTTCTACTACATGATCTCGGTTTAATTATTATAATAATAACGAAAGGAAAATCTTATTTTTCGGAATAGGGTTTTCTTTTTCCCTCCCACTCCCTTCGAAAACTTTTCTTAACCAATAGGGGTGGGAAAAAAACAAACAGAAGAGAGAAAGGAAGATAGGATCGGATCGGATCCGGTAAAAACCATAGAGAAAGAGAAAGAGAAAGTATAATTATTTCGTGTAAAAGAAGAGAAACTTAGGACGTGGCAGGATGGTGAACAGCAGCAACAGCAACAGCAGCAGGAGCAAGAGCAGAAGCAGCAGCATCTCGCTAGATCCGTTCGTAAGAAAATGCTGAGCACGCGAAGAACGAGGGAGCAATATAATTACAGTCTGAACCAATATTTTCTCATAACTGTCACTTAACGCTCCGCGAAAGCAACGATCCTTGGAAGCGAGCAAGCTCTCTTCTCTCATACTCTTTTTTTCTACTAAAAAGAAAAAAGTAAAAGAATGAGAGAGAAGAAGAGAGAGAGAGAGAGAGAGAGAGAGAGAGAGAGAGAGAGAGAGANAGAGAGAGAGAGAGAGAGAGAGAGAGAGAGAGAGAGAGAGAGAGAGAGAGAGAAGGAAGTAAATTCGAAGTTGGATTGGTCTGAAAGATGCCAACAAAAAAATCATCAAAAATTACCAATAGGAGTTGTTAGTTATCCTTTGGGTGATGACGTTTATTATTATCTATAACTTACGAATTATGTCAGGGAATGTTTCGTATTTGTGTGTCACATATATTTATATATATATATATAAAATTGACTAGTATTAACATGGATATTTCATCTAGAACGTGGATGAAACAACAGAGGGTAAACCACACGGAAGGTGGCCACGTTTTAGTTCGGTCATTGTCGTGACACCAGAAGAGGATTTTGTGGAGTTTCAACTGCAACGTGACTAGCCGCACCGTAACGAGGATTCCTCTCTACGTTTGATCTTTCTCCGGACAAGCGTTCGCTCGCTCGGATCAATTTACCTACGACTTTAACAAATGACCGTGGACCGTTTACGTAATTCTTCATGAATAGAGAGAAGGGGAACGAGTGGGGGCGAGGGGACGGTAGGAAACGCTACTACACAGATACGTATTCTTTTTCATTCGAGAATGAAACAATATTTTTCGAATCAAATTCAACGATTATTATCGTCAAAGGTATCATCATCTTGTTAAAAAAATATTTTTACGAAGTTAATCGTAATATAAAAGTAAATAATAATAATAAAAATAAATCAAGTGTCGAACGATTAATACAATGATGTTGATTAAAACGAAGTAATAACGTAATAACGAAAGTAAGTGTAGGATAATGTATGTTTCGTTGACCGTAAGCTGAAATTGTATAGAGAAAGAAAGAGATAGATAGAGAGATAGAGAGAGAGAGAGAGAGAGAAGGAGAGAAAATGATAGGAAACGTTCGTTACGTTCGACCCTCGTGAAACATTTTATCAGTTCGTGGAACAAAGTGACAGATATACTCTACGTTTCTCGTTTTCGGTCTGTCGATTTAACGTGTGCGTGGATTATATTCATGTATATCCATACATACAAGAAAAGAGACAACCAGTAGAGCAAGCAGTAGTACTAACAGCAACACTAACGCACTAACAACACAACATAGAACACAACACAACAAGTTGGCTAGATGCACGCGCGAGCGCATCCACGAGGATTGACATTCTCTCTCGGTTCCAATGCTATTTCATCGGAACATTAATTTAAGAGACGCTATGGACGATAACTGTCGAACGTTAATTCCGCGTTAAAACGTTGCCCGTATTCGCCTATCGGAAAGAGAAAGAGAGAGAGTTGATAGTTGAGAAGGGTTGGGTGGTAGTGGGTAGAGAAAATCGGGGATTGGAGGAGGAATGGAAACAACATCGAACGATAAATACTACGATTCGCCTGTCTCTCGCATACTAGAAACTCTCTCTGCAAGCGCATTAAATGTATTTCTCTACTCGTCATCCCTTTCTCTCTCTTCCATTATCAAATATACAATAATATTATAGATAAATTGAACGTTGTTTATGGTACAACGATTACGACTACGACTACGACTACGATGACATCGTCCAAGAATGTTTCTTTTAATTCTACAATATTTCCTACACTCACACACACACACACATACACACAGAAGGTCTTTAGAAATATTTCTTATATTCGTTTTCCACTCTTTTTCTCACAAATTACCTCCAACCAATTTCTCTCTCCGCCCGCGTCTGATCCCTTCTTCTCTCTTTCTTTTTTCTTTTTTCTTTTTCTTTCCTTTTTTTCCCTTGCACTATATACCCACCCGTGGGCTTCTTTTCAAGGAGACCTTACAATCCAATGAGTGATTGCTGTAAAGTGTAGCGCGGCAAGAATGAAGAAAATAAATAAATGAAAAAAAAAAAAAGAATAGAAAAGAAAGGGAAAGAAGGGTGGAGGGGGGAAGAAAAATAAAAATAAATAAAAAAAGGAAAGAAAAGTATTAAACGAGTGGCGCTCGGGTGCAATGAAGCGATGTAAATGTAACTACCATGCATAAATATCAATTACTATCAAGTTGCGGTTGCAGATTCAACGGAGCAGAAGGTAAGCTGTGTGTTACCATGTTTCTCGGAAAGGAAAGCTCTCTTTCTCTCTCTCTTTCTCTCTCTTCTTTCATTTTCTTTTGCGAAAGAAGATGCAACACATAGGTAAAGAATATAGTGTAAGCGTAGTGGTGTACTTGGACCCGAGAGAGAATGCTGCTGCGTAATCGACAACGAGAAGAAAGGTGGAGAATAAATAAAATAAAAAGAGATTAAATTCAAAGAAAAGTAAAAAGGAGGCAAAAGTATTCGAGAGACGACCGACCGAGGAAGGAATTTCGCACTGGTTAAGTTTCGAAATCAGCAAAGAAAAAGAAATACGAAGAAATAAAGGGGAGTGGGATTGGAAGAGAACAACGATGAGGCAGCATGGATAGAAAGGAGGGGGAGGGAAAGGGGTGAAGTGGGTGTGGGAAAGGGGATGGAAGAGTTGATACAGCGGTAATGACGCAGGGTTGCAGTAGTGCCCTATTACAATTTGCAATTATTGCATTTCCCGGCAAATGGATTGTACTCTCCAACTCTGCTACACATCCTGGAATCCACGAAAGGAAGAGCTACGAACGTGATTGCATTGGGATTTCGAGAGATACCAGTACAAACTCGCTGAACATTATGATCGAGGACGCGAAAACATCGTGTCCTGACCAATAACGATCAGAAATCACGTTGATCTTTCTACGATTTGTAGACCCCAAAGCGCAGAAACGTGATAGAGAAAAATTCCAATAAACGTTTCTAAACCGATCGTTTTACAACACCTTTGCACGCAGGACATATGTACTATACACACCATTGATGATCTAACAAATAATCGATAAGCTTTTCATGAATAATTCATATTTAACGGTTCAATATTTGTCTAGATTTGTATTGCCAATATTTATAATCAAATATAAGCGTGCAGTTTAATATCGATAATCAATTACTCTATAGTTCTTCTATTACAGATAAAGAATAATAAAATATATACTTGAAAAATATTCTATACACACCCATGTGTGTGCGTGCCCCCAAAATATTGATCTAACAAATAAGAAACACACATTTTTAAGAAATATAATTTAAAAAAGAAAAAAAAAGAAAAAAGAAAAAGAAAAAGTTAACGATCATTTTTCAAAAGGAGTAATTTAAATGAATCGTCAGAGAATTAGGGTGTATGTATCCATAGTAAGTATAATCGTCGAAGGTGTGTTTCGCTTCCCAGACTAGTTCGCTAGCTCTTTCGCTCGCGGTTCGTACCTCTCGCTATTGCAGCTAGTACTAGTAGTAGTAATAGTAATAGTAGTAGTAGTAGTGGTGGTGGTAGTGCTGCTGCTGTTGCTGGCCGGCTCGCAGCAAATTAGATTAGCGTGAATTAGCGTACCGTATTCCACGCCGACGGCTGGATTCCAGCACCGTTCACGTGGAATAGAAAAGCCCGGCTAGACCAACGCAGCAACAGCAACAGCAACAACAGCAACAGCAACAACAGAAGCAGCAGCAGCAGAGCCATGCAACGACCACTACCACCACCACCACCACCATTCGCATAACTGCTACTAAACTAGTCTCTCGTCCTAGCCACTAACACGAGCACGCTCGTTATTCTCGCTAGCGTGCTGATGTTGCTTGCTAGAAGTGGAAGAGAAGAGAAGAGAAGAGAAGTGAAGTGAAGTGAAGTGAGAAGAGAACAGGAAAGAGAGAGAGAGAGAGAGAGAGAGAATATGGACAGATAGATGTCGTTTATTCTGATCTAGAACGATCGATCGGTAAGAGAGCAATTAAATGCTTTACGAGACGTGGACTAATTACGAAGATGGTAACCATCTTTAATAAATGAGCATGATGAGCATTATCCTACTAATTAATTACTTTCTGACATATGAAATAATATCAAAAATGAAATCTTCGTAAAGCGAATTGTTAATCGTTTTAACGTGTGCACATCATCATCCTTCTGAACAATAATACTCATAAACAACGATTCACAATATATATCATCCCATTGATAACGGAGAGAGAGAGAGAAAAAAAAAAAAACAGAGAGAAAGAGATTATTATTTCGCAATTACGAAGAAATCAATTATTAACGTTGGGATCATCGTGACAAACCACGACGACGAGAGTTATGGTAATATATAAAACCCCCGGTTCCCGTTCCCGTCCGTGTGTTAAAAGATAAATCCGTGTTTGGTATGTAAATTGTTGGTGGTTCATTCCTAAAGAGGCGCACGTAACTTTACAAGGGACTTTTACGAAGTTCGCGTAATAAATCGTCCTCGTGTCGCCCCCTCCCCTCCCCGCCCCCTACACCCACTGG